AAGAACACTACAAATTTTTCAGAAAGCAGTACATTACGTGTTCTGAGGAAATTCGTAAAGAGGGGGAAATGATAAAAAAGACAGTAGTAGTTTTGGAGCATACCTCACGGAATTCTCGATGCTCCTCACATCTATCCACCGCTGTGACACTATTTCTAAGCGATTTTGAATCTCCGACCGCTCCTTTCCCGAATCTAATCCAGCTCCAAGCTTTCGTCCCATCTCTTCCACAGATCTTAATACGGGTTCATGCGCGTCCAGTTCAGCCTCCAGCTCCTGTAAAGATCAGCACTTTTTTCGAAACTGTCCCAAAGTTCTAACGCCAAAGCTCTCATTACCGCCGATTACCTTCTGTTTCTGAATCCATTCTCGTCGTTTTGTGGTATCCTTCAACGATTGCGTATTGGCTGTCAATGTTTCGAGTTCACTCAAACTTTCAGCAATTCTACCCAGCCAATCTTCGAATTCAGTGAATGCGGTATGAAAATCGGTTCGTGATCGCAATGTAGCTTCTAAGACTGCGCGACGAATTCGCAAACTGAAATCAGTTCAACTTCCATCGTAAATTCTCTTTGCGTGAGATAGTAAATTTCTAAGTTGTGCAGCGTTGGTGATTACATATTGATGCGTTTTGAAGGTAAATCATGGATGATCAGTCGCATTCAACTCGCTTTTCCGCTTCAGTCTCATGGAGTGAAAAACGACATATCAATAATCCAGATTTATGAAAAAAATGAGAAATTTAGTAGTAGCTTTTAGAGCCTAGCTAGCCAAAAGATGTTCCAAAAATATTTTTCTACGATAACTTCTTTGAAAGATGTATTCGTGTCTCTTTCATCACATTATGTTTTGCAAAAACCAAATAACTGAAGGTGTAAGAAATGCGTAACTGCGTTCAAGGTTTTTACAAAGCAAGTGTTCTACAGAGTAGTCTACATGAAGTATGACGGGTTATGAAAAATCCATTTTTGGCATTTTTTTAAACATTTTTTTGCTTGATGTGGTATTATTCGTTTTTCGCGTATTTTTGATCCTACTTTGGTCAGTCTTATTCTCTTTTCCTAGGTAATGGTGTCATAAGATGATCGTTCTGCAATAGTCGCTATGTTCACACTCAAACTGCATCGAGAGCAAGTGCAACGAGTCATAAACTCTTCAAAGACACTGGAGGAATTAAAAATCGTCCAAGAAATCTCCAAGAATTTCAAAAAGAGATTTATTAAAGCTGAAGATGGCCATTTTGAGTGCGATATACAATCTCTTATGTAGACTTTTCTGGCTGTTGATCATAGGAGTATATTTCTTATTTGGACTGAGTGGTGCAAATTTGTGGGTGG